AAAAAAAAAAAAAAAAAAAATTCATAAAATACCCATTAATCAAATTCGTGCTATACCCAACCTCCAAGAAAAATTTAAATTTCAAATGAAATTGCAAGAATAGTCAATAGAAAGTGAACCAAATTTTGCAAAAAGTCCAGAGAATTACTACAGTTATATAATTCCAAACAAAATCCTAATGAAATGCAAGAGAAAGTTATCAGAAAACAGATCAAACATCAAACAAATTTGAATTAAAATTCCCATAGATAAAGCTTGAAAACCAGAATTCTATGCAATTTTGAAAAATATCATCAAATCTTGAATAAAAGAATCATACCCATAACCATGTTCAGCATAATGGGGAAGATTGGACAGAAGGGTTTCATCCACATCAAAAATCCAAGCATCTTTCCCATCTCCCCTCAACTCCACATTTCTAGCATAAATTCCAGCCTCATTGGAGACCCTATCAAGATCAAATTGATAACCCCTTCCATTCATGTAATCCTTCACATAATTAGCGCATTCTTCTGGAATTCTCTTCCATGGGCCTAAATTATTGGCCTCCACAGAAAATCTCCAACTTTTACACTGCAATTGAACCTCTTCTATAAGACATTCTTTCAACTGGATTTCGCTATTTTCTGGGTATTCAGTGATCGAAGTCTTCAGAAAGATTTTAGAATTGAAGGTTGTTTGAGAAAAGGCAAAGGAAAAAATGGACAGGAAAATGATAATGCTGTTGAAGAAACTCATTGTTGAACAAGAAATATCCTTTCAATTCCAAGAATCAATGAATATGCGATCGTATGACGTTATAATTTTCTATTGTCAAGGAAAATGAAGGAATGTTCATAAATTCTTGGTGAGTTTCGACCTTCTCAATAAAGGGCGTGATGCTTTTCTTGATCCAGGCCAGAAATTCCCTTTGAACCATTAATCCTTTATTGCACTAATTTGCAAAACGTGTTAGGGAAGCAATATAATTAGCGAGGGTAATACTGTTTGTGCCTATTTTATTTTGAAGAATGTATTTTGAAATATTAGATTGACGAAGAATGTGTGATTAAAAATAAGATAAATTTTTAAGTATATATAATATTATTTTATTGAAAAAAATGTGTGATTGAAAAGAAATTAAGAATAATATATTTTGAGAATAATGTTGAGGAAAAGAGGGCAAAATATAAATTTTGCATGGACACGTTGTGCATGCGTTGAATATTCTTCAATCATTTCAGAAATCAATAGAGTTATGGTTTTTGAGAGTGCATGCCCAATTAGATTGATGAAAATGCTATTTATCTCCATTGGAGATGAAAATACAATTTACGTGGCGTTAATGCGGTATTAAATGATAGGTGAAATTAAATAAGTCATTTAATTTTATATTTCATTTAACTTATCATTTAAAACTACATAGACTGTGTTTTCATCCCATTGGGGATGAATAATATTACTCTTAGATAGTTCCTTTTAAAATGGCCATTAATTTATTTATTTTTTTGTAGTGATGAGATAGTAAGGTAGGGACAATAAATGTAGCCCGTGTTTGATTCTATATATGTTCTAAAGTATATTTTTATTTCTCAATCACGCTTTCTTTAATAAAAAATGTTACCTGCAAATTCATAATTTTTTTCTTATTTTTAACTACGCATTTTCTATCAATTTACTATTTCAAAATACATTCTTCCAAAATAATGTGACTCGAACACACCCAAATTCAATTCAGATGGATGTTTTGGTGCCGGACTGTAAATAGCTTATCACTTTGGAGCTAGTAGTTTAGAGTAACAAAAAAAATGAGGGTTATGCTGATCGAATATTGTATTTTTTTTAGATTGAAACGCAATAGTAATGCAGAATAGTCATATAACACCTCCCGTAGCACACCTCATACTCCACCTCTTTTCGACCGCACTAATGAGGGTTAGGCAGAAGTAGGCATGAGGGTTCAAAAGAAGCGACATTAGCGAGGAACAAATGTGCAATGACGATGTAAAGAGCAAATTAGGCCCTATTTGAGCCACATTATTTTTTCATTCTCACTATTCTACTCATTTNAATCAAACGCATCATATATATATATATATATATATATATGATGCGTTTGATTGCCAATATGAAAGAAAAAAATATTTTTTAAGTAATTAAATTTTCTAGAACTTATTCGCATGGAATTTGCCAATTAAATGTGTTTGATTGACTTGATTTCCAATCTAAAAAATGTCTTACTTTTCCATCTTTCTGTGTTCGATAACGATTATTTTCCATGAAAATAATCTTTTTTTTTTTCAACTATTGTTATTTGATAGCCATGATATTCTATAGAAATTGTCATTTTTTTTTTCCATGAAAATTATTCAATCAATTTTTATTTGAATAAATAAATATATTTGAAAATTGTTATTTGAACAAATACAGAAGTATCACTTGGGATTTTGGCAAAGATAAGAATTAAAATCAGAAGACTAGTTAATATTGAAGACAATTTCTCTACTCGGAATCCAACCAAATAAATTGACTATGTAATTTTACATGAACGGCATTAGTTCCAATAATGATGATAGGAATTCCTAGATGAGTCGATAGAGCACCCCTTTAAAACTCATTAGCCATATTGATCCAGCAGAAGCCTTCACGGGAGGCTTATTGCCTCCACCAACCAAAATACTCCATGCCCACTATATCATGTATTGAAATTCGAATCTGAGTATAATATCAGGAAAGATAATACAATAAGCAAAAATAGAAACTTTCAAAGACCACCAAAAGATTATGATAAATTAAGTTTTTGATGAACATTGTCTTATAATGCAATTAAGAAATGAACACTTGCTAGAAGGTATGGAAAATCTGGTAAAAAAAAAAAAAAAGAATGCTTTAGTGCTTCTCAAATTTACCTTTTCCATCATTCTATAAGACAAGGCATTCCTACACATCAACCTACAAATGTTTTAACAAACTTCACAACTACGTGGCCATGCTCACTAAGACCAACAGTGGAGAAGAAAATAGGTGACGGAGAAGAAAAGCATGAAGAAAATGTCGTTAGTTAGGTATAGTGGAAGTGGAAGGGTGTCGGAGGCTTTGGGAGAGCCCTGATCGATTGCCTCTCCGACGGAGGAAGGCGAAGCAGTAATATGCTTGTGCTTTTAATTGTAGTGAGAATGAGAGCGTAAGGGAGGCCTCAGGCGAATGTCCATATTTTTCCGATTTCAGGTTTGAGGGAGGCCTCATGCGAATGTCCATATTCTTTCGATTGTAGGTTTGAAAGAAAAAAGTGGAATGACCTTTGTTAGGTTTTGATATCCAATAAATCCTGGGCTATCATTTTAAACAGCATTTGATTATATTTCATAGGTTTCGATCGATGAGTGAAATAAATATCAATCAATCAATCCATATGTTCTACCCGAAAGCAACTTGGGCCATAGTAGTAACTTAAATGTGTTAATGTTGTCTTGGCCCAAATTCAATTAAAGGATGGCTTTCTTTGTGTTGGTCCATTTTCTTTTTGTTGGCCCATTTGTTGGATATTGGCCCAAGTCAAGAAACCTAAACAAACCTCTATATATATATATATATATATATATATATATATACAGAAATGATCTAATGAGCACCGGTGCTCATCTTATCCTAAGCACCGATGAGTTGGCACATTAATTCATTGGTGGATTGGAACTCACAAAATCTTTATCCACCAATGAATTAATGTGCCAACTCATCGGTGCTTAGGATAAGATGAGCACCGGTGCTCATTAGATCATTTCTGTATATATATAATTTCATTTCCTCATTGTAGGTAGTGTGTATTTGCCCCTTTAGAGAGAAAAAAATGTGCCTTTGTTCTACCTTTTTTGTTGTCTTCTCTTGTCCTTAGTGGTTTGCAAATCACTACCAAACCTTGTTCCTTTTGTGGGTGAGAAAGGAAGAGAGCAATCATAAGTGAATATAGTTGTGGGTTGAAGTTTTGGTTGATTGATTGATATTGGTTGATAAGTTTAATCTGAGCTCGGAATCCACAATTGAAGATCTATTCTGCTACAATTGGTATTAGAGCCACAAGGAGGTGGATTGGGCTCCAAAATCTGACCTGAAGTCGATTAGAAATGAAGCAGGATAGGCGGAACCGAAACTGTCCATTTTTTTCCGAAAATCTGGACCTGTAAATCAGTTTTCCGGTCAAACCAGAAGGAATTTGGAGAAACGGTGACCACTGGTGGAACGTGTAGGCGGAGGCCCGCCGGTGGTCCAGCGCATGGGGGTGACGACTGTCGACGGCAACGGCGCGTGGGACTTCCGACGTCGCGCGTGAGGGCGCGCAAGGCATTTTTCAGCGATAGTTTCTTCAAAGAGAATCTTCCTAACGTGATTTCTAACATTTTGGTGTTATTAGTTTTCTGTTTCAGGTTAAACGGTGAAAACTGGACGATTTTGCCCCTACGCATTTGTGTTTCAGTTTGGTGTTCAATTGGTTGCTGCAATTTCTGAAAGCTTTAAGACAAATAGTGGTGGCTCCAAAGTGGTAAATTCGCATCTCTCGTAATTTACGGATTTAGATATGTCCGCTCTAATAAATTGGCTAATCCCGTTTAAATTTCAGTATTAGCGCGTCATTGTGTGGGGTGACATTATGATTTGTGTTACCGTGAAGGGGTAACCAATTGATTGTGTTAGGAATTTAGAAATTATTTGCTCTATTTGAAGTGTTCATTTTTTATTGCAAGTTGGTAAAAATTTTTGGATTTAGTTTTTTTTTAGTGCTATTCATAGTCAGCTATTTCACTAGTCATTATATATGACATTTTAAGTGACATAGCATTATTAAAAGTTATTCCTTTTTAGAAATTATGCTATGTAAGATGTTATATATGATGATTATTGCAGTAACTAATTATGAATAGTATTATTGTAATAAAAAAAGATTTAACTCATTTGAGCATTACAATTCAAGTCTAAAATTTATCCAATTGTAAAAACCTAGATCTAATTTCACATTTGATCATATATAATTGTTGTACTACATAAAAAAAAATGAACTTTTTCATTAGAGGGAATTGTTAACCTTTATTTACTTACCTTTTAATTTATACATATAGATCCTATTTGGTGGGGGACTAAAAATCACATTTTTAGTAGATTTTGATAAAAGTTAATAAAATGTGTAATGGAAAAGTTGTGGATCCCTAATGATAATCAGTTCGAGTTCTCTCAGAGCTACTGATGTGAGTACCCGATCGTAATCTTCAAGGCCTAGTGGAATTAGTCGAGGTACATGCAAACTGACTCGAACATTCACGATTATCAAAGAAACCTTGAGGGGTTGCTCAATTGATCAAGTTTTAAAATTCCTCCCCAATTGTCACCAGTTCGAGTCCACTCAGGACCATTGAGATGAATACCAGACCGTAAACTTCAAGGTCCCGTGGAATTAGTCGAGATGCGCGCAAACTGACTTGGACATCCACGGTTATTTAAAAAAAAAAAAAAAATCTGAATTGTAATTCCTACTAAAGAAGGGAACTTTTTTTTTGTTATTTTGGGTTTAAGATGAAAATTTATTGGGAATTTTTACAAAATAAATATATTAGAGGACTGGAAGACTTAAAAAAAAAAAGGAAAAAAAGTGAAAAAGAGGAGTTCATTCGGGGTATTTTCGTAATTTAGTTCAATCAAGAGCACGTTTGGTTACGCTTATAAGTAACTTATTCGGTTCTTACAGGCATAGAAAGCCCAAAAAGCTATTTATAAGCATAGGCAAACAGCTCTTATATCCAGTTCTTGCTTTACCTAAAACCCTAGTCTCTTCGCCAGCACAAAAACCCCAACTTCGGCTGCCTCCCTTCACGAAAAATTAAGAAGAGAGAGAGATGGGAAGTGATAGCGAGACAGAGAAAAGTGCCCATAAAGAGAGAGAGAAGAAGAAGTTACTGGCTCTTGCACCCATCGCTAAACCCCTCGCCGGCAAAAAACTCTGCAAACGCACCCTTAAACTTGTTCGCAGAGGTGTATATACACGTATAAATTATTGTATGTTTATATCTCTAAATGGGTTGTTCTTTTTTATCTTATTTATTTTATGGGTTTTTTGGGATTTCAGCTGCCGAGCATAAATGCTTGAAGAGAGGCGTCAAGGAGGTGGTCAAAAGTATTCGCCGAGGAAACAAAGGGTATGTCGATTTTCATATCTTGTTTATGAATCTTTTTTATAATAAATTGGTGTTGGGATGCTACTTTATTGTAGTTCGAGCGATCCTTCATTTCTTTTTTCTTGACCTAAAGCTTATTAAGTTCGGATTATATTTATTTGGGCCGAGTTTAGAGAATGAAAAAGATTCAAATTTTAAATTCTTTATCACCGAATTTACAAAATGCTGTTTACAACGACTGCTTTGTTTGATGGATGATCTAAAAGAAGAAAAATTTATTGATGTGTTTGAATGGTAAATTATATCTTTCCAATTTGTGATGTAGCCAATTACCTTTTGGGATCCAACTACAATTCTTTTTTCCTTTTTGCTTGTGTGTGGATTTGGGTGAGAAGGGAAATATGAATATGCTTGTGTTGATTATAGAAGTTGGTTTCAACCTAGCTGTTCATTCAACTGATGTACAATGTAGCTTATTTTGAACATCCTGCTTTATATTTAACTTGTGGAATCTGGATTTGATGTATTTGCATTCTTTATGATGATGACAGATTATGTGTCATAGCTGGGAACATATCACCAATCGACGTTATCACTCATGTTCCCATCTTATGTGAAGAATCTAACATTCCTTATATCTATGTTACCTCGAAAGAAGTAAGCATGTTTTCTTCACTCCCATATGTTATATTTTGTTCATTGTCTTATCCTTGGCTACTTTTTAGGTGAACCCCAACCCTTCAATGTTGGTTTTTTTTTGGGTGGTGGTGGGGGACTAAAAATAAGGTCAAGGAAAGTGGATATAAATGATAAAAGTTGGAAATAGCGTCTGTTTGTAGAAAAACTGCTGCACAGGTCTCCTTTTTCTTACATGGATTTGAAGAATCAAATTTCAAGGATTGTAATGGTTATCTTGGAAAATATGTTTGTTTTTGTTTGCCTCTTTAATTATATTCAAAATTTTTTACTTCTAAGCATTGGCTTGCTTGGTTAGTATTCATGGCATATCATATGGTAGAATGCCCAAGTTATAAATATATGTTGTGTTCTATACCACATTTAATGGATTCATTCTCATACTCTTAATTCCAGTGCATATGAAGAATGCTATGGCTTAGAAACAGGAAATATCAATACATGTTTTTACTATTTTTTCAGCTACTCATCTAAACTAGACTGATAATATTATATCCGTTTCAAGATCTTAAACTCGTAGCTTATCATACGGTTGAATGCCCTCACATAAAAATATAATTTCTATTCTATTGTACACAGAATGGATTAATTCTCACCGACTTTAATTCCAGTGTACATGAAGAATGCTATGGATTATGAGTAGGAAACATTAGCATAAGTTTCCTATTTTTCAGCTGTTCATCGAACTAGACTGATAATGTTATAAGGCACTATGCTAAAATTTGAGCATGCTCTAGTTGCTAATGTCTGGTCTACATTTTTACATTTCTAGATATCCATACCATATATATAAAGAGTTTCAAATATACAGCTGATGTGCATACTTACACACACACATACTTATAAATTGGATTAAATGCTCTCTGTCTCTCTCTTGCTGATAAGAGTGTTGTAATTCTTTTGGACATTTGGAAATCGGAATGTGAGATTGATTAAAATTGTTGCACGAAAATTCATGTATAAATTATGAGTATTTGAACAAGAAAGTTATGCTTGTGTCATATTGATTTCATTTTTTCAAAATTCACACGATATGTTAGGTTCAAGACCTGGAACTTGTACTTGTTCATTTAGTATTGTAGTTAGGCCAAGTATAGATCCATTCCAACGGAAATAAATAAATCTTGTATTGATCAAATTTGAAAATAAGTTACTTATTTTGATAGTATAGAGTTACTATCAAATTAACTGTTTTCTATTCTAAACATGTTTGTTTGAAAACGAAAATCACTTGAATGTAACCCCAGACGTGTTCTAATACTGAACTTGAGAAGAAAAAGTTGGACACTTGTAACGTGACTACCTGCCTGTTTCAGGATCTTGCTAATGCAGGAGCCACCAAGAGACCAACTTGCTGTGTTCTTGTGCTAACCAAGCCCACCAAGGGAGAAATTGCCCAGGAGGAACAAGAAAAGTTGAAGGGAGATTACGATCAGGTTTCATCAGAAGTATCTGAACTAGCTAATTCTATGTTTTAATGAAAACTAGATTTCATAATGAAGTTTGTACTCTTCATTTCGGCTTATAAACAACTTATTTACTTGCCATTTTGTGGGTTTCTGTGAAGTTGCTCAATGGATTTGTAGAACAGAATTTGGGAAATCTTTATCTTCTTAGGAATCGTCTATCAAGATTTATCTGTGTGACCACAATATTAGGGTGGAAACATTACAGTTATGAAAAAGGAGAAGAGAAGATTGCAAACAATTGCTCCTTTGTTCGACAGTTTGTGGAAATAATTATGTAATACTATTTAGCCCCATTAGAGTTATAACCCCACTCTATATGGCGCTAACGTGATATTAAATGATAAGTATAATTAAATGAGTAATTTAATTTAATATTTTATTTAGCCTATCATTTAACATCACATAAACTGGAGTTATAACACCAATGGTGGCCTAAGGGCCTATTTGGTATAGCTTTTATTTCTTGTAGAAGAGCTTTTGGAGGAAAGAGGAAACTTTCGTAGTTTTGGATGAAAGTTAATTTTTAAAAGTTTTAGAGAGTCACAATGAACTAACTTCTTTTAAAAGTCATTCCACATACTAAAAATAGTTTCATAAAAACAAATTCAAAAGCGATTTTTGGGTTCAAAAGGTTTTTTTGGCTTTTCAAAAGTCATGCCTAACGAGTCATAAATAGCATTAGTCAAAAATTATAAATTGTTTCATGGAGCTCGAGTAAAAATACTCTAGTACCCATTCTCATTGATTCAGGATGGGGCAAATTCAAATAGAAAAGCGCATAGGGATAATTAGAATTGGATAATTAGAATTGACTAACTTCAAGTCAGAAAGTTGAGAAATTCAATGTCACCATTCTTGAAAGTTATCTTACCCGCCTCGTTGAGAAGCAAAGTAGGCTAATTCCAAGTCACAATAACAGGAAATATTACTATTTTGATTGACATAATGACACATGACGTTCTATCATTGATTAGTTTTAAAAAAACAAAAGGATTTTTCATCAATCATTCACTGCCACCATTGCATATGTCATCCAAGGTGTTAAATTTATCCGACAAGAAAACATTATTCTTCCAAGTCAATGGATTGAAAAAAAATAATGCTTAAAATCAGATTCAATTGTCAAAGACATGAGCAAATGCTAGCTAGTAATTCAAGGATGCGGCTCATCCTTTAGTAATTCATTTAACTGCAAACAATATGTGACAAGAAAGAAACAAATAAAAGGTCGACAAGACTGAATAAGAATCAACACATGGCCGAGGGTATTTCAAGAGCAAAATGATTTGTTTGTTGTTCTTGTTCCTCATTGAAGGTCTAGCTGTAAGGATACAAACTTATCCATGGCATTTAATTATTGAACAATAGATGCACTTTTATGTTTGGACGTTAATATTAGGATCATCCCTAAAATGGACCCCTTTTCTTGCAACATTTTCATATAAAAAGGATTGCAAATATTCTATTGAGGTGAAACACATCATTAAATTTCACGATAAAATGATTCAATTTGAAAATTTCACTTAATTAAATCAGTCTACTGTTAAGATTTGTGGCTCCATTTTAAAATGTCAATTTTATTAAAATGAGTAATCCAAATCCTTATAAATTGATTTATATTTTCATATTTATTCGACGTTATATTTTATCCTTTAATATGCCTTTTTGTAAGATGGTGACTCTTTTGAGCATACCTATTTTGAAATTTGCGTACTTATTTTTTAGTCTTAATCTGATCAAATTGTTCATTAGAGATTAATGAGTTCTGATATTATAAGTTAATATTAGGAATGTTATTTTAAAAGATCAACTTTATTAAAAGAAATAACACAAATTCTTATGAATATAAGTTGATTTATATTTTCATTTTCTTTCGATATGAAATTTTATCTCTTAACATCTCCTTAAATAAATTTAGTACAAATTACATCACTAGGTCAGGTTCAACCTTTTTTTACATCACGGGGTTGACTTCATTAGAATGTGAAAGGATTAAGGGTAATTGGCCCAAAACGTCCCTACCTTTGAAGGGTTTTGTGCAAAACGTCCATACATTTCGTTTCTTGGAGCAGAATGTCCTTACATTTCACACTTTTAGTGTAAAACGTCATTTTCTTCGATTTTTGACTATTTTACCCTTCTATTAAAATAAAACAAAAACAAAAGAAATGAAAAATACAGAATAAATTGCAATCTTACTCTTAGACTTTTCTAAAAATGCAAATGAGTTCAAAACTTATAAAAATATTAAAAAGAAAAAAAAAACTCTCAATCTCTTAGCCGCCGGTTATGGACCTAATTTCCACCTCATTCCGACCACCATACCGTCGGATATCACTACCAATTTAATCTCCTCAACATCCTCTACAATTTCCACCCAAGAACTCCCCATTCCTCCATTTATATACCTGAAATCATGCATCAAAATCAGCAAATCGAAATTCTGCAACCTGCCGGAAATCTCTCCTCCAACCATCGTCATGGTCGCGGATCACCACGACCTGTCTGCCCAAGTCCAGGAGACACAGAATATGGCTCAAATTCACTCCAAACAACAAACCATCAAACTGAATTAATTCATGAAACTGCGCCAGTCGTGAGCTCTTCTCTACGCTCCGAAGAACTCTGATTCTGGCGCCGTCCGGCCAACCCAGGGTAGCGAACCACCTGGGTTGGGTTCATCTTCATCATGAGTAGCTGACTCACTAATGGGTCAGACCCAATAACGCCCATAACATGTTCAATTTTCGTCTGAATTGTTCGCTTGTGTGGCTCGCGGGTTGCCTGCCTTATAATTTTTGAATTTGATTTCCGCCCAAATTTGTCGGAGTTGGGGTTGGTGGTTGGGTGGGTTGTGAAGAGGGCAATGGGGGCTTCAAGGTGGTATGTTGGTTCGGAAGTCAAGGTGATCGGAGGTTGAAGAATTTGCCTTCAAAGGTGGTAGCTTAGGGGGTGATGATTTTTTTATGTTGGTGACTGATTTGCACATTTTTAAAAGTTTGGATCCATAATTGCAATTTATTATGTATTTTTCTTTTCCTTTTTTGTTTTATTTTAATAGAAAAGTAAAATGGTCAAAAAATGTGGAAAATGTTTTGCGCCAAAAAATGTAAAAGGTAGGGACGTTCTGTGGCAAAAAATGAAACGTAGGGATATTTTATAGGGGTGTCCAAAAGTCCCGAACCGAACCGGACCTAACCGAACCCGAACCGAACCGAACCGAACCGAACCGAGCGGTTCTTCATAAATTAAATACCCGAACGGGTACCCGAATCGAGAACCGATGGGTTTGGGTCGGGTCTCGGGTCTAGACCAAAAACCGAAGAACCGAACAAGAACCGAAACTAAATAATTTTTTTATTTTTTATATTGAATTAATTAAATTATTTTATTTTTTTCCTATACAAATTAGCAAATTAATTGAATAAATTAGATTATTTCATAATTTTAATTTTTAAGCCCAAATCATTTTAAAATCCATTAGCCCATTTTAATTTGAAACAAATGAATATACTTTATGTAGTTTTGCTGTAATATTAATATCTACTTTTTGGTATTTGTATGCATTGAATTAAT